CTTCTTAAATCGACTTTTCCAACTTTCAAACTGGCATTATGGAGTAGTGTGAGCATCACACATCATGTAAGTGGCATTATATCCTCATTATTATGAGCATTGCCTTCAGCATTATCGCAGCAAATAACTAGCATTACCCGCCCATGCCTAAGTGTGAGCATTATAAGTGGCATTATATCATCATAATTATGAGCATTGCCTTTAGCATTATCGCAGCAAATAACTAGCATTACCCGCCCACGCCTAATGTCGACACACAAAAAACGGTACAGGCCGACCGTCGAAAATAGCGTGAACGGTAAAATGCTAACCATGTCTACTGAAATGTAACGGTGCGTAACTTTTAAAATAAAGTTATAGTTCCTTGGCCATTGGACCTTCAAAAGTTGGTCCTTTTTCTTTCCCTTTTTTTAATAATATAAATATTAAATAATGGAAAGAAAAAGGACCAAGGAACTCGAACTACGGCTGTCGACTTACATAAGTTACAAGTAACAAACCTGAGCGATTATACGATTTAGAAAAAAAATCGCTCAGGTTTGAAAGAAATCTTTATCACCCCCTCCCATGGGCCATGGCCCAAGCCAAGGTCCCGGTCAAGCGTTTCTGTTCTTCTCGGTGCGATTATGGTTTGCGTGGCACGTGACCGTGGTCACTTTCATTTTGTGCATTTTTTGTTTCATTTTGTGCGTCGGGTGGGCGCACTCGAAAAGACGGACGGTGGACGTGGTGGGCCTGGTAATCTTGTCACCCGATCGAGAAGACCCTCAGTCTTATACTAAAAGTTAATGTCAGTGTAGATGTTGCTCAGCCGACCAGACTATAGAGGCAGATCGGAGGTCTCGCTCGGCTTTATCATAATCTCAGCGCAAAGGCCGGCGCAAGGGAGATCGGGTAGGGAGAATTACATGTAGATTGTAAAAAAAGAAGAAAAAGACCAACAATTATGATTGTAAATAATCGACGTGGAGACAACAATTTTATAATAGCAATCAAGAGAACAAATTCTGCAGTCATCGCCACACTACAACGAAGTTATGAAAGTTTACGAGAATTAATTTTCTTGTCACATTCATCAGTGGAAAGTCGTGACTGAAGAGTAACCATGCTGAACAATGATTAAATATACATTCAATGATGTGTTACGAGAACAAAATACAGTGCCAAAATAGAATGAGGGAAGGTGAGACAATAGAAGCGAAGTGAGAGCTAAGTGCAACGGCGGGTGAGAAACTAATAATTATAACGCTAAAACTGTGTAGTGAGACAAACAATCATGCTGTGCACCTACGAAAACAATTTTAACGCAACTACATGTTTCTTCTGCTTACAAAGATCAGGCTTATGCAAACGAATACAAACAGCCTCAAGTACTTTCAACTCCCTTCAATTTAGACTACGTCTTTGGGAAATCCTCAAATATATTATAATAATAATAAAATAAAAAATAACTGACTAGCATACCGTGCACGACAAAGAACAGAAAAAAACTAAAATCATCATACACCTGCAGACACTTAGGGTGAGACAACAAGTGAAGAAAAAGGCAGACTTCTTACGATCACAATCACCATCTGACTCCTCGTCTCCAACAACCGCAACCTCGTCCCCCGTCTCATCTCCCAACTCGTCCTCAGTGAGTCAGTGTCGTCCTCCGTGTCATTCTCCTCATCAACACCGACCGGTCCCAGGCTCGCGTCGTGTTGTTTAACCTCTGTTCGTTAACTCCTCCTTTGATCTTGATGGTAAATTGTTACCATTGTTGTTGTTGTTGTTGTTGTTGTTAAATCGTGTGTTCCCAGTGTCCTCGCCGGTGCTTGATCTCCAGTACTGTAATAATTCATTGAATAATTAGCCGTTGATCGTCTAGGTCTTTGAATGTTGATTGTGTTACTTTCTTTGTTGAATTCCGTTCCCTTCAGCCTTCTTTCTCGTTGTTCATGTTCAGTGCTTGCCTCATCCATATATGCACGTGCCACCGACACCACAGACTCAGCCCCAGCACCGCCGATGATAGATGTAGGTGGCGGTTATGGGGGAGGCAACGGCAAAGACGGCGATGAGGATATTACCTCATCACAGCGTCCACTTTGGTCTTGAGCTGAATGTTGTTGTGGTGTGTTATCTTGTGTTGTTATGGTGCATTGTGTTGTGGTGACAATATGCCCATTACCCGACTCCAAGGCTCTCGATACGGGTAATGGAGGCACTATTGCCGATGACGGAAATTGTGCTAACGATGGCTGTGGCCGAGGGTTCTTCAGTGGCCTGCCGCGGCGTTTGGGTCGCAGTGCCCGTGCCGAGCCAGTCAGCATATGCAGTGGGACGTGCTGCTTGATACGTGCGTTCAGATGTTGAAGAGTCCTACCAACGTACCGACTACCGCATTGTCGGCACTCAAATTGGTATACCAATTTAGATGCAAGTTGGGTTGGTAGGACATCCTTCCTCACCCTTGTGGAAAAGTCTAGTCAGGGTGCCGTAACATCTGTGTACAGAAAGCCTACATTCACCGGCCAGTACATAATGTTTGACTCGTATTGTTCGTACCAATACAAGGTGAATTTGGTGCGTAACTTGGTGGATCGAGCAGAGCGTATTTGCTCCTCTTCCAAACTAGCTGAGGAACTGGACTTCCTTAAGTCCGTTTTTCTAAAGAACGGGTACCCCGACGATCTATTGAAGGAACTCATGAGCGAAAGGCTGCATAAAAAGGAAAAACGTTTTGGCCCGGACAAATGTCCCACGTATCTTTCTCTCCCCTGGAAAGGTAACCTCTCATTATCCATGAGTCGCGTGGTATGGAAAATTGTACAGCAAACTTACTACGCGGTACATTTTGTACCCGTTTTCACAACTGTACGTGCGTTCACGGTGAGGAAGGATGTCCTACCAACCCAACTTGCATCTAAATTGGTATACCAATTTGAGTGCCGACAATGCGGTAGTCGGTACGTTGGTAGGACTCTTCAACATCTGAACGCACGTATCAAGCAGCACGTCCCACTGCATATGCTGACTGGCTCGGCACGGGCACTGCGACCCAAACGCCGCGGCAGGCCACTGAAGAACCCTCGGCCACAGCCATCGTTAGCACAATTTCCGTCATCGGCAATAGTGCCTCCATTACCCGTATCGAGAGCCTTGGAGTCGGGTAATGGGCATATTGTCACCACAACATAATGCACCATAACAACACAAGATAACACACCACAACAACATTCAGCTCAAGACCAAAGTGGACGCTGTGATGAGGTAATGCCCTCATCGCCGTCTTTGCCGTTGCCTCCCCCAGAACCGCCACCTACATGTACATCTATCATCGGCGGTGCTGGGGCTGAGTCTGTGGTGTCGGTGGCACGTGCATATATGGATGAGGCAAGCCCTGAACATGAACAACGAGAAAGAAGGCTGAAGGGAACGGAATTCAACAAAGAAAGTAACACAATCAACATTCAAAGACCTAGACGATCAACGGCTAATGATTCAATGAATTATTACAGTACTGGAGATCAAGCACCGGCGAGGACACTGGGAACACACGATTTAACAACAACAACAACAACAATGGTAACAATTTACCATCAAGATCAAAGGAGGAGTCAACGAACAGAGGTTAAACAACATGACGCGAGCCTGGGACCGATCGGTGTTGATGAGGAGAATGACACGGAGGACGACACTGACTCACTGAGGACGAGTTGGGAGATGAGACGGGGGACGAGGTTGCGGTTGTTGGAGACGAGGAATCAGATGGTGATTGTGATCGTAAGAAGTCTGCCTTTTTCTTCACTTGTTGTCTCACCCTAAGTGTCTGCAGGTGTATTATTATTATTATTATTATTATTATTATTATTATTATTAAATTTTGAATAGGGCAGTCCCACAGGCCTAGGGCCTTTTTACAGGGTACCCTAATGTGTATGGTGATTTTAGTTTTTCTGTTCTTTGTCGTGCAAGGTATGCTAGTCAGTTGAAAGTACTTGAGGCTGTTTGTATTCGTTTGCATAAGCCTGATCTTTGTAAGCAGAAGAAACATGTAGTTGCGTTAAAATTGTTTTCGTAGGTGCACAGCATGATTGTTTGTCTCACTACACAGTTTTAGTGTAATATGATTATTAGTTTCTCACCCGCCGTTGCACTTAGCTCTCACTTCACTTCTATTGTCTCACCTTCCCTCATTCTATTTTGGCACTGTATTTTGTTCTCGTAACACATCATTGAATGTATATTTAATCATTGTTCAGCATGGTTACTCTTCAGTCACGACTTTCCACTGATGAATGTGACAAGAAAATTAATTCTCGTAAACTTTCATGACTTCGTTGTAGTGTGGCGATGACTGCAGAATTTGTTCTCTTGATAGCTAGTATTATAAAATTATGATTGTATTGAGAATGTCTTCCTCAGTGACGTGCGACTTCACCAAGCGATAATGACAGAGTAGCCTGGTACACTGTACTGTAGCGGGCTGTTGTGTTTTCCCAGTGACCCATGGCTATGTTTGTCAGCGGAGGTGGCGAGAACTGCACGCGGATATTTTCGCTTTGTCTCTCTGTAGCTGTAGCTGTGGCGTATCTAGCTGGCGAGGTGGCTGGAATGTGCCTCGGACTCGCCATACCTGTTCTTGTCTCTCTAGTACTGTAGTGACCAGGGAGCACTACTCAGTACTCCCTGCTACTAGTACTAGTGCTAGTGACTACTCTACAACAAAAATTACTGTAGTTCGTTGTACTGCAAGCTAGTAGTAGTACTACAGCTGTAGTGTAGTATACTGACTGGTAGACTGTACTCACTACTGCTGCAAATGTCGACACTGGTCCGAATGCGAGCAGATAGTCTCAGTTTTGCAGAGCGCAACACTCAACGCGCAACAGGTAGACATCTACTAGTGTTTGCTTCCGTGTTCATGGTGTTCATGAGTTGACGGCCTCGGCGCAAGGCTGCGACAGCCAAACTCGTAGATCTAGAGCGCTGCATGCAGCCGCATTATTACATGTCCGGACTGCACTCTGATCTGTAGCCGCCGTGTAGCCCGTGTGAATGCGTGCTAGTATGCTCCGCTCGCTGTCGATATCGTATGGCTTCGTGGCTAGCCTAATCACGTCATGGTGTCGGGTCGAGTACGACTCAGAGTTCGTACTCTCTCTCCTCATGTAACTGTTGCCCTGTTCGGGATTCGAAATAGTTTGAGCAAAGCGAGGTGGCAGGCAGCAGTTGTTGCTTCTCCTGGAGATTGATGTTGAAGCAGAGCACGAGACAATCCACGCTGCGAGCATGGAGTTGCTGAAGCAATCTTTCGACTACGACAGCAAGGCATTGCTTGGCCGGTAAGTGAGTGACTTTTCGTAAGACTGTAGCTGTTCGTTGTACAACATGCTGTGTGGGGATGAACGAACTCTTACAAATTTAATTTCACTGCAGTGGAATTGCAAGTTCCAGTTCCGACCGAGCACTTCAGCAGTCAAAAACCTTACTCGTGGAAGCTCGAAGACGAGCAAGGAGGATCCTCATCCATAAAAGGACAGTAGTGTGTTTTTATGTAGGGGAGATCGAGAACCCTTTTGTGTTGAATGTTGCCCTAAACAAGGCAATTGTATAACAAAGGGTGGAGACGCGTACGGGAACTGTCATTCAAACATCGGGGTCAAACAGTAACTGAGCTGGAGTTCATTTTGTCAGAGGAAGTAAATTTAGTTCAGTGTTCTGATTCTGTCAAAAGATTTAAGTCGATCTGTACTGACTGTTCGTCTTCCGGTATCCTAGTGCGGTGACAGTAATAGCACGAGTGATGACTGTACTCTTTGCTGGTTGCGGGTAATACAGCGACAGCTGTGGCAGTGTTGAGAGTCGATGTGCCTCGAGGTGATTGGGACCGGGAGCAGCACAATACTGATCTCAGACTAAAAATATAATAAATTTAGTTGTCTATTTTGTATCATGGGATAGCAGTCTCAACTGAAAATCTGGCCATGCACTACAGTCCATTTCAAAACTATAGACGCGTACCTAGGCAAAAACCGTCATCTATACCACATAAAACCTGTGATCACTTTGTGCATGATTTTTCCAAATTGGGCCTCTGTTATCCAATCGTTTAGAAACTATATGAGAGTAATTGTGGAGCGGACCTGAGCAATATTCCGAAAACTATTCTCAAAAAGTTCCAGCCATATTTGAAATATTTCAAAAACCCTACGCGTCTATAGTTTTGAAATGGACTGTAGCTACATGTACATAATTATACTCCATAGGTACTAGGTGTACTCCAGAGACAGTAGTACTATTCTAGTTCCAAGGTGTCTGTGGACAATCCAGTGGCAGTGTGAATAGGTGTGTGTGTGTGTGTGTGTGTGTGTGTGTGTGTGTGTGTGTGTGTGTGTGTGTGTGTGTGTGTGTTTGTGTGTGTGTGTGTGTGTGTGTGTGTGTGTGTGTGTGTGTGTGTGTGTGTTGCTCCTGATGCAGCGTACATTGTATGTCCCGTAATGCCATCCTGAAGTAATACTTGTACCTGGAACCGTGTGGTGATGGCGTGTGCGGGGAAGATAGCGGGAGAGAGAGAGAGAGAGAGAGAGAGAGAGAGAGAGAGAGAGAGAGAGAGAGAGAGTGAGAGAGAGAGGTGCTGTGCGGGGCATCTGCCGTCTCCCCTCCCCCCCCTCGCTCTGAGCAAGGGGGGGGGGGGGGAGGGGGGGGGGGGAGTTTGGGACGTTTGTAATGCTAGTATTTAATTTGTAATGCTAGTATTAAATTGTTCATGCATGTTATTTTATATTGTACTTGTTGAAACACGGTATGGCCTTGTGGAATGTTGGTATTCCACATGTACCTGCATTCTCACGCTTGTGACATCTGTAGTAGAAATCACAAACTGTACGCTGCACTAGTCCCACACTAGTACAATACATGACATGCAGGTCAAGACGGGCAGCAGTCTTACTCATTGACAGGTTTCTGCCGAAATCCATTGTGCTGGAAGCAGGCATGTGGGATGGGGAAAACTGGCACAGATTGCCAAACGGGCACTTTCTGGCATACAGGACGAGGTGCTGAATTCTTTTGGTTTGGCTAAAATAGCTCTTGAAGGATGATGCTAGAAAGAGTGACAGATTCTGCTCCAAGTGCAGTAAAATTGGCAGGTTCTGTTCTAAAAGCAGTGAAAATGGCAGATTCTGCTCAGTGAAATTAGCAGAACCATACAAACTGTATGGCTGGCACTTCTTTGATCTCTGCACCGCAATACATGAGTGGCTAGCATGATACATCAATTTCTTTATCCACATGCCAAATATGCATGAAACCTACTAGAAGAAGTACCAAGCTCTGCTCATTTTTCTCCTGGCATCATCCTGCAAGGGCTAGGATTGTAGAGGTAGCGTACAGGGCCTACACATGGACGTTTTCCACCAGTGTATGCTGTGTTGACAACCACAGGAGTGATGGTATCTCATAGCATAGACAGTAGGCTGAGTGAGGTGCGCCCATTCTGCACTAATCCTGGGATAGCAGTAATCATGCATGCAGTCACTATAGTATGCAGTCACTATAGTATGCCGTGTGACACTCACTTATGCTGGCCTGGTTGACACTTGCACTGGAACATCAACATCGGCCACTTTCACCAGAACCTCACTTGAGTTTCCCACACTTGAGAGTTTGAGAGTTTCCCACACCGCATGCAATGTTGACGCTGATCTCACACATAGGGTTCTCAAGAGGCTCTAAGAGGTTTACGAGTTCTCCTACTACTACTAGTCCTCACTCCTGGCCCGGTGGACTGGTACATCTGTACAGCTGTACACACGCACACACACACACACACACACACACACACACACACACACACACACACACACACACACACACACACACACACACACACACACACACACACATACACACACACACACACACACACACACACACTGAGGGAACAATGAGTAATTGCCAAACTACATGCACTTGATTGCCTAGGAGTGTACAGTGACAGTGTAATAATTTACAGTGTCTGCTCCAGAGCCAGGTCGACCCGCTTGGGCGAAGAACACAGGGTCAGCTTGGGACTCCATCAGGGAATCCTAATCAGGGAATCCTAATCAGGGACTCCATCAGGGAGTCCTAATCAGGGAGTCCTAATCAGGGAGTCCTACGACTACCTGATGTACAATACTAGTAGACACACTTGACCGTACCGGCGGCTGGGACCCGGTTGCAATGGTTGTGCCAGGTACGTGTGTACCCGGTTGGGTTGAAATCCTAGAGTAGACACCGAGTGTACCAGCAGTAATACCGTAAAAGTCCGTAAATAAGTACGTATTTACTTTCGAATTTAGTGACCACACCCGTACTAACTTTCGGGCGGGTACTGACTTTCGGGCACGAACTAACTTTCGGACCTGACTTGTGTGTAGTGGAGAAGTCATTTTCATGTTGATGTACATGCTAGGTGCTGCATGCGCTCACCGTACCGGTACTTATTTCGGGCAGTATGTTTATCGGGCTTGACTTGACTTCAACAGACAGAGCCAAAAGAATGAAGGGGGTATTTCTTTCGGGCAGGTACTTAGTTACGGACTTTTACGGTAGTCCCCCAGGGTAGTCCCCCAGGGTAGTCCCCCAGGGTAGTCCCCCAGGGTAGTCCCTCAGGGTAGTCCCCCAGGGTAGATAATACACTCTATGCAGTAGTCCATTGGTGGATCATGTGGATGAGAAAAGCCAACAGAATATGTTGCCTCCTTCAAAGATATCTCAGAGATATTTCGGAGACATTTCAGAGACATTTCAGAGACATGTCTTGTCAGGACTGCCGGAAGCAGTTTTTGATTGGTCCGGTAGTTTCGTGACCCTTTATACTTTGCGTGTGATAATCTGATATTGCGGGTATACATGCATTAATTTTTGGTGGCCGAAAAGTTGGTCCGGTGATAACCTGACCAACCGAACCGGTTCCGGAGGACCTGCTTGTACATGAGTAAGGAAGAGGGGGTAAAATTACCCCAATTGTCCATGGTGTGGTATGCTTCCACGTATGGCTTTACTGGTACCATAACATACAAAAAGCAGTTGTAGGCAGTCAGGGAAGCTGGTGCATTTAGGGGTGTGGTGGTGGAGTTGTTCTGTGTGTGTGCATTATTGTTGGTGTTGTAGTGTTCCGTGTGGTGGCCTCTAGTTTGTGGTTACAAGCCTGTCTGGAAATGTAAAGTCGCTGATTGCATACACCGCTTAGGAGCTGCATCTGTGCCTTGACCTATGGAGGGCGGTGGCGGTCCTACGGATGCCGAAAACTCGGCCTGCAGCTGAGTCTGACGCGGGCTGTGACATTTTTGTTGTATGCACGATACGTACGGTGCTTGTCAACCTGTTGTACAGTTGCAGAGAACATCTGCTTCAACAGACACACCGCACAACACTAATCTATAACTTGGACCTGGCCTGCATGGTTGGAGTGGCGTGGTCGTATGGTATGTTCTGCCAATTGTGCAAAGTCTCACTATGACATGTTACTAGGTGTTGATCATGCGTTGTGGATGGTCGACGCAGACGTCATTGTTGTGTGGTTGGTCAAATCTTACATGCTGCACACACACACATACACGCTGCACACACACACACACGCGCGCACATGCACACACACACACACCTGCGACCTATGACAGATGTGATCTGATCGCATGGCAAGCTGACTTACTGCAACTCCTGCTGCTTGCCCGGAGCAGCTGTAAGATGGGATTTCTTTGTTTCCAACGCACGCTATCTCACCACCCACCCCCCACGTGCAGCCTATGACAGATGTGATCACATGCCAAGCTGAACTTCTGCAACTCCTGCTCCTGGGCGAAACAGCTGTATGATGGGATTGGTTGCTCGCATTCTCAGAGCACATCGTATTGTTTGCGCATTCAGCATGCCCGTGGTCCGTCTCCCTGTATTGTATCCATGTCCGTTTGTGTGTACTGTCGATGGGTGACTATGTCTGCTGTGGAAATCTGCAAACTTTCAAGTGAATAACACAGGTCTTGTATGATAGTGTAGAGCTGCTTTGGTTGTGCTAATCTGTGCTAAGTTGCTGGCTGGTTGTCGATAGTAGTGCCTAATGGGTATCAATAAGGCAATGTTCCTCTGTCCGCTCCCCGTCTTGATCGGTTTAGACAAGTGTTTCTGAAGAAGAACGACAGGAGTGTTTTGATACGGGTTTATCAATGCCACACGGTATACCAGACTAGTGTCTTGACCTGCTCAGATAGCAGCAGTGTCTGCGATGGGTCCATTGTAATTAATGGTTACTGGGGCTGACCAGGGCAGATAGTAATGTCCATGCATGCTTGGGTGGGTGTGTGTGTGTGGGGGGGGGGGGGGGGGGGGTAGAGAGAGAGAGAGAGAGAGAGAGAGAGAGAGAGAGAGAGAGAGAGAGAACCCTGTGTTTCTCACCCCATCCTCCGGCTGTCTGTCTGAGGAGAAAGAGAGCGTCTAAAAGAGAGACAAAGACGGAGACCGACTGAAAGAGACAGAAAAGGAGAGCGGCTGAAAGAGGGTTAGAGACTAAGATGGACTGAATGTGTCATGTAGATCTCTTGGTTCATCGCTGGCATGTATGTAGTGATGCATGGACAGCAGCCTGGCATGTATGTAGTGATGCATGGACAGCAGCCTGGCATGTATGTAGTGATGCATGGACAGCAGTTTTGAAATAGTTTAAAAAAAGTTTTGTGACAAGGCCCACCCACTACAGACACCTCTGAAAAGCTTTGGACGGGCACATTCCAATCTGTCATAGCCGATCTGACTCTCACTTACAGACTCACTCAGTACTTCCCTGCCTCCTTGCACAGCCCTGTAACAGCTTACATCTTTCACCCAGGGTGGGTGTATAGAGTGTTTGGATTAGTGTCACTGTGTGCATGTAATGTATGCATGTGTGTGTGTTGTTTTGTGCTCCTTGGGAGCAGGTTACACTTTCTGAGCTCCGTGTTCTTGGCTTTCTCCCAAGTTTTCTGCCTGCCCAGGGCGACTCTGGCGTAGCCAGAGTCGACCCTGGAGCACCCTCGCACACTGCCAAGGTAGTGCTGCATGATTGGAGCGTGGAATCGCGATGTAGCTTGCAGGACAATTTACTTCGATATTGTCACTGCTGCGTCGGCCGTGGTCCACCACTCGCAGTGGAGTAGCTGTCCCTCGAGTGCTGTGAAGAATCCAAGCTCGAAGAATGCAGTGGTGGGAATTGCGGATTGGCTGGTGGAGTGCTGGAACAACTCGTTGTTTTCAGTGGAGTGGACGAGCGGGTGCGGAGAGGAAGGTCCCAATGGCGGAATGGTGGGAATTGAAACTTCAATCTTTCGTCGTCATCAGTGCACTGGTCAAGCGTTGTAGAAGTCTGTCGGATCTGTGAGGCCTTGCCCTGCCGCTAACATCGTCAACGTGGAAGAACTGCTAGTGGAGTCCTGGTGGGATTTCGGATGCCCACACTCCTTTTGCCTGGTGGATTCTTTCGTGGACAGTGTTTTTCATGACGTGAAATTTTGAATTTTTTCCTTCCTGTTCATTTTCAGTCGTTGTCACTGTAGCTGTCGGGTTGTTATTACAGTACAGCAGTCGTCCGTTCTGCTGCATTGTTTCATCTGTTTTGCCAGTTCTGCTAGCTGATTCTCTTTATTTGCCACTGCCCCTCATAGTGCCCATGCTTGGGTGGAGGGCGGCGTGACCCGTTTAGGGTAGCTGTATCATAGTAGTATCATAGTAGTAGTAGTGTGTGTGTGTGTGTGTGTGTGTGTGTGTGTGTGTGTGTGTGTGTGTATGTGTGTGTGTGTGTAAAAAAAATGAAAAATAGGGATTCACTGGCCAGAAAAAGCCACTTCAATCAGCTGTGTGGTGGATACGAGGCTAGAAAATAGTGGCGGTCAATTCATCAGCCTTGCAAGCTGTTGAATGGTGTAATCCCAGCACAAGTTGCTATGTCTAACATAGCTGTTTGCTATCATCGTTTCCGCGATGGGCATGTCTGAGGTGTGTGTATGTGTATGTGTGAGTGTGTATGTGTGTGTGTGTGTGTGGGGGGGGGGGGAGGGGGTATTAGTTCACTCTTGCAGCATCTTGTTCCTCCATTTCAGCACATAATAGACCTTAACGGCATACTCATGGCTATGTGTGAGTATGTGATATTCATAAGCTGCTAGGCATGAAGGTGGCAGTTGACAGCGTACATGTAGATCAACTGTGCAGTGCATTCTTCAGCTGTTCCAGTACTGTTTGGGGTTCAGAGTCATAGCCTCGGTTGTTCCTACTTTTCACGTACTAGTTTATGTGTAGTGGAGTCGTCGCAGTGCTATTGGACATGCTACCGTGACTCTGGGGCGTGACTCGGTATTGGACATGCTACCGTGACTCGGTATTGGATGTACCACTCTTTGCCTCGGGTACCTGGTGAACCCTCAAAATGCACTGTTTTTGGTTCCAAATTTTGAACATTTTCAGCAGCCCCCCCCCCCCCCTTGAGTACATTGTACTGCAGATGTCTCGCCATACCACCCTCCAATACCTTCCGACACGCCTGTGTCACCGTGTGTATACGGGTACAGTCGGCCCTCTTTAATCCAGCGCTTCTAGTTATAAATCAGCACCCTCTGTAAACCAGCATAAATTTCAGCAACCAAAATGTCACCTTCCTGCACATTGCAGCAGTAAATCAGATTAGTTTTAAAATCCAGCACCCTTCCTAATCCTGCACCCTTCCTTATCCTGCACAATTTCCTTCGCACAAAATGGTGGCGGAATATACAGTGACCACTGCATACTGTATTTGTAACAGTAATCTTTTTCAAGTAGGAACCGGCCTCTTGTATGGGCAGAAGTAACACAATGCTACAATGATACAATAAAAACAATAATACGACGATGAAAAAAGTGTTTTTACTCCGAGTTGCACGCACTGAGCGATCATCAAAAACGTGTTTGTTCGAGGTAGTGAGCAGTCTATTGGACAGTCTGGAACCTCTCTGCTATACTGTAATTGGTGGGATTGTAACTTGTTCAGACGTCCATGCCTAGCAGTTAGACTGTACTGTACTGGCTTGCAGACCAGTGACTCTAATTGCCCAGGTGTTTGTGAAGAGTGATACGGAGACAGGTGTTGGCGTGGAAATCAGACTCTTTAGACCGAACCTTGTCACGTTGTATTCCTGTTACTGTCATGTTGGTCAGAAACTGCTAGGGCAAGGCGTTCATGGCACCATCATCCCTGACAGTAATCGTGACGCACTCAGAGTAGAGACTGAGAGGATACGTTATTTTTCGCGTAGGATGGCGTGAGCGGCTCTGAACTTCCCTTGCATCAAGCACTCTTTCAACACCAGTAGTAGTAGTAGTAGTATTTATTATTTGACTAGGGGAGTCCCAACAGGCATGGCCTTGTTACAGGGAACCCACCCCTCAGTGCCTGCCTTTATGTGACAGTTCTGAAGAACTCATGAAACAGCTCATTTGAAATGATAATTACTCACAGGGTTACGTTCATTGGAAGCTAACCTGCTCACTAGCGTCGCTCTCATCCCCATTATCGCCGATTATTCCAGAGAAACCTTGTATTCGGAGCTGCCATCCTGCTGGTGAGCAGGACGCCTTTTCATGACAGTGAGACACACTCCAATAACCACATGTCCGGACCGCCTCAAACACCAGGCCATTCTTTCAGACCATGACTACCTCTAAAGAAGATGTACCATGATGATGGGCCATGGCTGAAAATTTGCAGAAATATACTAAATGATTTGATTCGCAGTGAAGAGGCTGTTATTGGAGTGTTGGAGTGAAGTTTCGTACAGTCATTTGTAAGGGGTTGTGTTGGAGTTGGAGGACAATGAGCAAGTTAATCACTACCTCACTGTAATAGTTCGCGAACAACTGGCACCTGTGTTGCAAAGTGTGTGTGTGTGTACGCGTGTGTGTGTGTGTGTGTGTGTTGCAAAGTGTATGTGTGTGTCCGTGCATGTGTGTGTGTGTCCGTGTGTGTCCGTGCATGTGTGTGTGTCGACTGTACGGCAATACCGACATCCCAGCATACACGTCACTTCACCAAATGTCTCCTTGATTTTCCTCCATTTCTAAATGTCTTGTGTAGCGGTGCATTTGCAAATGTTTACCGCGGTACACGTCTCTCAGACCAGTGCAGTGTAGCTGTGAAGTTCATGGAAAAGCCCCGTTCCAGTTCTCGTGACTACCAGGAGAAGATAGAGACAATGCGTCGAGAGCTTAACATCATGCAGTCCCTGGATCATCCGGACGTGGTGGAGTTGCTGGGCAAGTTTGAAGACACTGCTAGCTGTATTATTGTACAAGAACTGTAAGTTAATACTCCGATGTTGCCAATGCTGATGCTGTTGCTCTTGCCTCTATGCTGGCTGCTGCTGTTGCTGTTGCCGCTGGTGATGTAGTCTCTATGGTGGGTGTGGCTGCTAGTGTTGCACTCCAACCCTCATATCCTCTCTCTTTCTGACTATTGGTGATGGTACTACTGCTGCTGCTCTTGTCGTCACCGCCGCCGTTGTTGTTGTTGTTGTTGTTGTTGTTGTTGTTGTTGTTTGTTTGAGATCTTTTATTCTCACGATGGCCTGTGGCCAATAAGAGAAATGTTGTTGTTGTTGTTGTTGTTGTTGGTGTTGGTGTTGGTGTTGGTGTTGTTGTTGTTGTTGTTGTTGTTGTTGTTGTCGTCCCCCATGCACTGCTCCTGCAGTGTTCCAGGTGGTGAACTGTTTGACTACCTCACAGAGAAAGAGACACTGGAGGAGATTGTTGCCATGGAGTTTATCAAGCAGTTACTCGGCGTGCTGCACTATCTGCATGCCACGCTCCGTGTCATGCATCTCGATATCAAGGTGAGAGAGAGAGAGAGCGCGAGCGTGTGTGTGTCAACATAGAGAAATGGGAATGGGGATATGAAGGGGCAGGAGACGGACAAACTGACAAGTCGACACTCAGACAAGTCAACAAATACAATAAAAGTCTGCGTACATTGACTACACAACCACCACCACACCAACACCACCACCACACCAACACCACCACCACCATTGTCGTGCACTGTGGCCAACCACTGACACTCCCCACAACAACAAGAGGTGTAGGTCGACAAGCACACAACTTGACAGACAGGTATATACTGTTGCGTACATTGAAATTCGTTGAGAAGTCCAGCAGCCACGGGGCGCTGGTCGTGCAGCCGTGAGCACAGGCACGGAGCGCTGGACGTGCAGCCGTGAGCACAGGCACGGAGCGCTGGACGTGCAGCCGTGAGCACAGGCACGGAGCGCTGGACGTGCAGCCGTGAGCACAGGCACAGGACGTGCAGCCGTGAGCACAGGCACGGAGCGCTGGACGTGCAGCCATGAGCACAGGCACGGAGCGCTGGACGTGCAGCCGTGAGCACAGGCACGGAGCGCTGGACGTGCAGCCGTGAGCACAGGCACGGAGCGCTGGACGTGCAGCCGTGAGCACAGGCACGGAGCGCTGGACGTGCAGCCGTGAGCACAGGCACGGAGCGCTGGACGTGCAGCCGTGAGCACAGGCACGGAGCGCTGGACGTGCAGCCGTGAGCACAGGCACGGAGCGCTGGACGTGCAGCCGTGAGCACAGGCACGGAGCGCTGGACGTGCAGCCGTGAGCACAGGCACGGAGCGCTGGACGTGCAGCCGTGAGCACAGGCACGGAGCGCTGGACGTGCAGCCGTGAGCACAGGCACGGAGCGCTGGACGTGCAGCCGTGAGCACAGGCACGGAGCGCTGGACGTGCAGCCGTGAGCACAGGCACGGAGCGCTGGACGTGCAGCCGTGAGCACAGGCACGGAGCGCTGGACGTGCAGCCGTGAGCACAGGCACGGAGCGCTGGACGTGCAGCCGTGAGCACAGGCACGGAGCGCTGGACGTGCAGCCGTGAGCACAGGCACGGAGCGCTGGACGTGCAGCCGTGAGCACAGGCACGGAGCGCTGGACGTGCAGCCGTGAGCACTTCTGGTCGATGTCTACAGTGTTACAGTGTTACAGTGTGCGCGTTAAGCAAGCAAGTACGCCATCCCCGGTCATTCCTCCGGATTTCTAGGTCCACAATAGTAGCAGAGCAGGGTAACAGGTGAGGAGCCTTGTACAGAGCGACAAAGCTGATCACAAATGAATATACTTTACGGCCTCACTGGTGTTCTTCAGAAAGTAGAAGGCAGACCTAGGCGAAAGCGCGCAGAGGCAGACCGATCTGCCATTGTTGCTCCTGTAAGCAGAATTACGAATTTGTCTGTGGGACATCTCGCGCAACTCCAAGAGTGCAATTGGTCTCTTCAAAAAGATTATCCGATGAAAGACCAAGCCTCTTGACTGGCTGCATAGTCAAATTTTCACATAATTGAGTCACAGAGGTATATATTTTCCAAACGAAGGTAAGTTCGCAAGTACCCACGTAGTTTCACACATCAATGTGTAAAATTGCTTGGGCACTTGCGAACTTACCTTCGTTTGGAAATAATCAAGTCAGCTATTATTTTTCATTGCACCTGGTAAAATCAATACTTTGTTTTTTGTACAGCCTGAGAATCTTCTATTGAATGCCGACCACACCAAGCTGAAACTGATTGACTTTGGTCTGGCACATCGCTACGATCCCAGCAAGCCACTCAAGAAGATGATTGGAACTCCGGAGTTTCTATGTGAGTAGGGGAAATCCCCGTGCAGTGGGGAGAGCTTGGGGATATTCCGTCCCCTTGTCAAGGGTTATTTGTCCTCCGCTTGTCCAGGGGCATTCCCTCCCATTGTCCAGGGGCATTCCCTCCCATTGTCCAGGGGTAATTCATTGGGAATCACACCTTTTTGCCCGCCCCGGATCTGGTGGTCCTTTGGGACTGGACAGGTGGCCTTGTGGCCTTGTTAGTCTTACAGAGAGGTTCTTTTGACATGTTTTATTATCACTGTTGTCTGTTGTCTGTTGTCTTGATCTGGTACCTATGTAGTAGTACTGTACTGCACCTTCCTCTGTGGGTAACACGCATACATATTTACCTACGGCCTGTGATCACACAGACGTGTGTGTGTGTGGGGGTGGGTGGGTGGATGGTTGGGTGTGTGGTTGGGTGTGTGTGTGTGTGTAAGCGTGTGTGTGTGTGTGTGTGTGTGTGTGTGTATGCGTGTATGTGTGTCCCATATGGTGCAGTGGTATGTGCAGCGATTTCCAATCGATAGGTTGCGGGTTCGATTCCCGACGATTATGGTCACACACGTCTTTCTTCTCTTTCTCAGACTCTTCCTGACTTTTCTTTCATTCTCCTGGGTGGTTACCAACAGCCAGTGCATGCCGGAGTATGTGGTGTGATGTGTGTGCGGGAAAAAATCAAAAAGACCAAAAAGTAGGGATTCACTGGCCAGAAAAAGCCACTTTATAGCTGTGTGGTGTAGACCAGGCTGAATAGTGGCGGTCAATTGTTCAGCCTTGCAAGCTGTTGAATGGTGCAATCCCAGCACAAGTTGCTATGGCTTCTGCTGTAGCATCGCTATCATCGCCTCCGGCGATGGGCGTCCAATGGTGTGTGTATGTGTGTGTGCGTGTGCATGTGTATGCGTGTGTATAAGCGTGTGTGCTTGCACATGTTTTTGGATACGGATACGGGATGTGTGTGCGTGCTCTAACACATGCGCTCCTTCACGTTTGTCTACGCGTGTTTGTCTGTTCAGCGCCTGAGATTTGTTCCTTTGACGCCATCACTCCGGTAACTGATATCTGGTGAGTCCGTGCATTCTTCCCAGGCGAGGAAAGAACGCAAATGACAGTGTTTCTATTCTTAGTGTCCATGCTGCTAGTTAGAACGCCACTCATCTCGGCGAAATCCTGTTGCTATTGTTGTCCGCACCGTTTACTCAACTACAACTACTGTCACTATATCACTGCAAAATTGCTTTCTGTTGAAGAACACTACGCTTTACTATTTAACACTACGCTTTACCATTTAACACTACGCTTTACCATTTAGCTGATTAAAAGATCATTGGACTCGGATGGAGAGCCCAGGATACACTTATACAAACAGTTGTTTTAAAGGGGAAGAGTGTGTTGCTCCCTACATGGGAGCTCGCGGTTTTCCTGCCGACTTGAATTCTCACTTGACTGACTGCCGACTGCCATCCAGAGCACACGAGAAGTCCACCGAACCGTCCACTCGGCAAACCTGCAGTCAAGTGAGAATTCAAGTCGGCAGGAAAACCGTGAGCTCCCATGTAGGGAGCAACACACTCTTCCCCTACTATCGCCGAAGTCGCACCAACCTCTTCTTCAAGTTATGTTAAAGTAAAGAAAAAGAACCAAGAAACTTCAAGTACTTCAAGTTAGTTAGTGGACATTATAGCGTAACTTGTAGTTTCTTGGTCCTTTTTTTCTTTACTATAAAGGATCATTTGTTGAATTTTGAATTCATTTTCTGCAAACAATATTGCACGCATATCTAGTATGTACAGTGGTGCTTGATGACATACGATGGCGTAAAGTCAAGTTTCCGCCCTGTGCCAGTGTTCGCATTCCAGTGTTCACAGGTGTGGGGCTGCACAGCACAGTGCTATGTACCAGTGAGCATCTCTGTGTTTGCAGGTCTAGGGCTGCGCAGTGCCCGCAGTGGCATTCACTCGTTTGATCGTATTTCTTTGAGAAGCACTCTACGTGTGCAGGCCGCATTTGCAGATGTTGTCATTCAGAATCCATCCAGGATTGGTAGATTAGACCGTGAGCGAACTACAGTACTTGCTTGTGTTACTTCCCACTGGTTCCCTGAATGCTATTGTAAATGTCATGAACTCTCTATCTGACACGTTGAATTGCTTTCGATGTGTGTTTCCTCCCTGGGTATGTGTGTGTGTGTGTGTGTGTGTGTGTGTATGTATGTGTGTGTGTGTGTGTGTGTGTGTGTGTGTTTGTACATGTGTGTGTGTGTGTGTGTGTGTGTGTGTACGTGTGTGTGTGTGTGTGTGTGTTCACTGCAGGGCGATGGGAGTTCTCACGTACATCATGTAAGAGTTTAGGTATTATGGGATGCTTGACCTTCGTCACTATCACTATTTTACTCTGTTCAAATATTCTGTCATTTCCGCGTACGGTCTCGGGCGCGTTCGTTTTGTAGCAATCCAGAACAGGATTCACCAGAACAGCGCGTTTGTTTGGGACTGCACCTGTTCTAGATTGGCCAGAACATGTTCTGCTTGCTCCTGCCTCGAGGCTTGAGGATGAGCTAGGGCAGTTTTATTCTTTTTTTTGTTAAAGCTTTTTGATGTGAAACCTGGTGGGAACCCTGTTTTTGTCCAAAATGATCACGTGCATACGCTTTGAGTTGCATTTGGCATTCACTTGTTGCACCGAACGAAATGACTCGTACACATTTCAATGAATGGAACTAAGTTTGGCGCACTCAGATGCACTCTGTTTCTAGAACACCGCTGGGTTGGCGTGGGGCTGCTCCTTGTGCACCAGCCTGTTCAATCCTATTCTAGATTGTACCAACCAAACGTACCCTAAGGAGTTATTGATGGTTATAATTTTGAGACAGCGTGCAGGGTCTATAGGACGGTCAGTCAGCCAGACTCAAGTCTGACGTTTGTGCTGATTTCTCGGACCATGTTCTAAATACATGTACACGTACACACAGTCTTTTGGAAGAGAATATAGAGCGGTTGCTGCTGCTGCTGGCCATAAGCGAGGGTCTCTGATTCGAGTACGGGTGGTGAAAGTCAATTTTCCTTAAAATTCTCCCTAACCAGTCCTCTAAAAATAGAGAAGAAATAGTTACTGTCACCACCAGGACTCGAGCCAGGGACCTTCACTTGAGCCAGGGACCTTCACTTGAGCCAGGGACCTTCACTTGAGCCAGGGACCTTCACTTGAGCCAGGGACCTTCACTTGAGCCAGGGACCTTCACTTGAGCCAGGGACCTTCACTTGAGGCTAGCGATGCTCGACCACCAAGCTAGGGTGTAGCCGTCATCCCAGCAGAGATCGTTCAACATTTTCTTCGGACTTTGAAATTCATGCTTCCTGGTCTTGTTTTACATTTGCGTCGCCGCCTGTACCTCGTTAGGTTGACAGGCTATTCGCCGTATCTTGGCGATGATGACCAGGAAACAATTGGAAACGTCTCACAGAATGAGCCACCGGATTTTGACGACGAGGAGATTACCACCGCACTCTCCGAAGACAGTCTGGATTTCCTCAAGTACTGCCTTCAGCCCAGTGTAAGGTAAGGACATGAGCTGTTTTTTTTTTTTTTTTTTTTTCATCAAACTCAATAGCAGTCAATAATTTTCCCAATTCGGTTTTTTTTATTTTTTTAATTTTTTTATAGCTAGTACATAAGCTGTACTGCCTTCAGCCCAGTGTGAGGTGAGTACATAGAGCTGTACTGTTTACAGCCCCCGTGTAAAGTAGGTGCAGTGGTCCCTGTATAATCCGACATGCACCTTTTGTGCTATGGAAATTTTGCTGGATTGGGAACGGTGCTGGATTCGATTATCTGATTTACTGCTGCAATGTGCATGAAAAGGACATCTGGGTTGCTGAAAGTTATGGTTGATAAATATGGTGGTAAAGACACACCTGGCAATATGGCGGTAAACACACGCCTGCCCACACACGCTCTCTAAGCTGCAAAGTTCTGGCACAGAGCTCTCCTTCTCACCACCACCACCATCAGTTTGCTGAAAGTTATGCTGCTTTATTGAGGGTGCTGGTTGAAGAGAGGCGACTGTACTGCCTTCAGCCGTTGTTTCTATTGTTTATGGAGACATTCTCCGCTGCAGGAATGCTACAGTTATAGTAAAACCGGTGCTTGCCGAACCCTGTACCAGTCGCAGTCTTGGATTGACCGGCACGATTTTTCATGTACCGACGACGTGCAGTGTATTGAACATGAATACTTGGATCAAGTGGAATCCTGTGGTATCAGGAGATTTTCCGCTGCATCAACCAAGGCTGTCCCTCGGTTAGGTCAGGTTTTCCCGTACACTCATGCGTCGGTTATCCGGACACCGATGTTACGGGCACTTCGGTCTACCGCACCCTTTGGACGAGTATAAGTGGAAATATTACTACTCTTTTGTCACTTTTTGTGGAATTAATGACGTCATATGCCATATCTATGGCCTTTCCCCATCAAAATGTAGGTGATTCTGAGTTAGTGACATTTCAAATTTACGGGCAATGCCTGGTCCCGGACCGCCCGATAAACGAGGTCTGACTGTACTTAAACTTCTCGTTGACATTGTGTATGAGGGTGGTGACCTTCTCATCGATTTTAGAGGAGGCCTTCCTCTGCTGAATCTGATCACTTGAGTGTGTATGTGTGTGAATCTCTCTCCTCTCTCCCGGGTAAACCTATGCGACGTGCGTCTGGCAGTGAGCAAGTACCAATAGCTGTGTGGTCGTGGTGGTGTGTGCGTGCGTGCGTGCGCGAAATGGAAGGATAGCTACGTTTGCAGCCATGGCTGTGTAGTGTAGACCAGGCCATGGTTGCTGCAGCATGTCCCAGTGGATTTGCGCTCTGCTGGGAGTAGGTACACAAGCACAAGCGAGACGAGGCAAAGGTGTGTGTGCGTGCGTGTGTGTGTGTGTGCCCACATTCTATGCTCTTACACTATTTCTGTAGAAAGCGTCCGACAGCAGAACAATGTCTTGGGCATTCATGGTTCAGACCACCTGAGGACGGGGTGAGGAACTCATTGCTCTCTCTCTCTCTCTCTCTCTCTCTCTCTCTCTCCTCTCTCTCTCTCTCCTCTCTCTCTGTCTCTGTCTCTCTCTCTCTCTTTCTCTCCCTCTCTCTCTATCTATCTATCTATCTCCTTTGCACCATGGCTGGAAGCTCAGCCTACTTAAAGGTCGTAGCTGTACTGATAAGGCATTTATTGCCGAAACGGGTATTTATCGCGTATTTAACTCTCTATCTATCTTTATCTCTAACACTCCCTATCCCTGTATCTCCCTGTATGTGAAGAGAAAAGGATCTATAAGGTAGGAGTTATGACTAACAGTCCACCAAGGTAATGAGATAATATAGTAAATATACAGTCAGATAGTGCGACAACAAGGCACGCGATTGACAAGGATATTGAGACGTTAGACCACCTGACATTTACATATTGCTTCTGAAGTACTATTGGCTCTACATCCGAGTTGTATTAAGCACTCCCTTAATGTGTTTTTGCTGCTGCTGCTGCTGCTGCTGTTGTTGTTGTTGTTGTTGTTGTTGTTGTTGTTGTGCTGCTGCTGCTACTACTGTTGTCGTCGTTGTCATTGCTGTTCTCAGCAAGTCCGTCCTTCCGTGTCACTGTCGACAAAGAAGTTGCGAGAGACGGCAGCTAAGCGGAGGTTTAGGGTCAGTACTAGCTCCCTGCATGTGACTGTGTGTGTGTATAAAGGGCTTGGAAAGAATGCCTTCCAACAACTAACTATTATGTTGATCATGTTGTGCTTGCAGGCTTACTATGAGTAAGGTCTTTGATTCAAGCCTCAATTTTCCAGGCTCCAACTTTCTATTATTCGAAATGGAACCCCATGCACTGATGTGTACAGCCTACCCATTGAATAATAACTTCAGATAATTATAACAACACCTCACCAATAGACTCCCTTTGATTCTAATCCCAATTTTCCATACAACATAATTATGTAAATAACTGGACCTCGCGATTCGCATACCGGTGCATGGTTCGTGTACAAAGGGGTTCAAATCCCCCCCCCCCGACCCCGGTTACGGGTGCATGGTTTGTATGCAAAGGGGGTTAAAATCCCCCGACCCCGGTTACTTGCCTGTGGATGGTCCGAATATGGAAGCCTGTTGGACCTGTTTCCCTTTCGCCGCTTGCATTTGAGGCACGTGTCTGTTGTGTTTGATACGTTTAGTGGCGATGGCATGCGCACAGATAAGGAGAATGTCCGATAATTTTGTACCAGCACTGTGATAATCACGTGCCTCTAACTGTGTTCGCTGAGCTATGTGTGTGCTTGCGTGCCTGCATACTGCTCTGGTCGACTGAGCTTAATGGGCCCCACCACCACACTCCATTATTCACCCCAGTGTTTGGAGATAATGTGGATTTTGTAAAAAAACTACTTCAAAGTATGAATATAGCTCTGCATGTGCGTATGAACCTAGACGTCAACGGCATCACACTAAGATATACAACCTTGCTCACACGATGACACACAACCTTGCTCACACGATGACACACCAGGGGCGCCGGAAGGTATTTTAGTGTGGTACGGTCAGCCATCTGAAGTACAATTGACTCGTGGGGGAGTGGTGGCTGAGCCGAAAATTCTGGAATTTTAGATCCTAGATCAGTGTATTTTGTTGATTCACGGTGTATCTGGGGCAAAAAGTGGTACGGTCAATACCGTAGTGACCGTACCGTGTGCGACGCCCCTGCACACAGCCTTGTATACTATGAATCACACAACCTTGTTAATCACACAACCTTGTTAATCACACAACCTTGTTAATCACACAACCTTGTTAATCACACAACCTTGCTAATCACACAACCTTGTTGCTGGCGTGTTGTTTATGCTGTACCATACAGGACGCAGCTAGAGCTATTCGTTTTGCAAATCGCATGAGTCGCCTAAGCCATTCCTTACTCTCACCGACCAGCCCCACCACCACTCGCTCCGAATCCGACTGCTTGCCCGCTTGACATGGTCGATGTGCCTAGTTGTCAGCTACCACACAGAGGCAGTCATGAGCTGCCACGAGGCTGCCTGTTGTGATGTTACTGTTGGCATCCTGTAGCTGAGCATGCCTAGTGCTATTGTCCCATCGTAGACATTGATGCTGGCAGGGGCAGCTCCGTACAGATGGCGTGATGTTGGAGAGAGGCAAGGCCAGTTGAAGTCTGTGATTGCGAGTTCTCTCTCTCTATCTCTCTCTCTCTCTCTCTCTCTCTCTCTCTCTCTCGCTCTCTCTCTCTCTCGCTCTCTCTCTCTCTCTGCGTCTGTCTGTCTCTGTCAGTCTCTCTCTCTCTCTCTCTCTCTCTCTCTCTCTCTCTCTCTCTCTCTCTCTCTCTCTCTCTCTCTCTCCCGTTTGCTGATTCGTATGTCCCAGACTTATGATCGTTGTGCTTATGCCACAAGTCTTGTGAGCTGATCAAGATGCAGTAATCATGACGTAATTGTCACACAACACTAAGAGTTTAAACTAACCCGGACACGATCACTACTATGATCATATACATGACAGTCACTGGTCAAGTTTAACGCACATCTTCGACGGCTGCTCCTAATGCTCACCCCGTAACCTAGAAACAATTCACCACCGTGTGCATTTTATTAATCCACCCCGCTCTGCTTTATCTGCACACACACACACACTCGCGCGCGTGCCCTGGCAATCTCCCCACACAGAATTGATAGGCATCGGAGAGATCAGTTCCCTTCCCTTAGAAGCCTTCTCTTTTTTACATTTTTAGACTTTCATGATTTTTTAATTTTATTTTCACACGATACACAACTCACCGACAGGCACATGAGGCTAGCACGTTCTTTTCTCCGGCGATGCCGGGTTCTGTATGCGTATGGTGTATCGTTAGTTCCTACGTAGCACTCACGCTGTCGGTCTCCGTTGCTTTCCTTCTGGCCACGACCGACTGCCAAGCTTTCTTCTCCATGCACAGTTATCACTGCTTGCTCGCTTTATATTTCTTAGGCAGTGCCCGCATGCCCAAGCTGGCAAGCACCGTAGCGTGCCCAAGCTGGCAAGCACCGTAGCGTGCCCAAGCTGGCAAGCACCGTAGCGTGCCCAAGCTGGCAAACACCGTAGTTGTATGATTGTGCATCATGAACTAGCCAATGATTTGCAAGTCTGAGCCTTTCTTATAATCAGCTGTAATGCTGTATAATAATTATATTCGCACATCCACAGTGTTATTTTGTTTAAGACCTGGCCAACCCCTGTAGCTTTTTTACAAATTATTGCCCTCACCTTAGAAGACGGTATTAGAGTCTTGGATCAATACGTTCATACGGCTAGTGCTGGAATCAACTGTGCTATGCTGTTTTGCCTGTGCATCTCTCTCCGTCTCTGTCTCTCTCTCCCTGTCTGTCTCTCTCTCTCTCCCTCTCTCTCTCTCTCTCTCTCTCTTTCTCTCTCTCTCTCTCTCTCTCTCTCTCTCTCTCTCTCTCTCTTCCGCTCTCTCTCTCTCTCTCTCTCTCTCTCTCTCTCTATCTATCTATCTATCTCTCTCTCTACCTCTACCTCTCTCGTGCACACATGTCATACTTAGTGCATCGCTATCATCGCCTCTGGCGATGAGCGTCAAAAGGTGTATGTATGTGTGTGTGTATGTGTGTGTGTGTGTGTGTGTGTGTGTGTGTGTGTGTGTGTGTGTGTGTGTGTGTGTGTGTGGTCAATTCTTCAGCCTTGCAAGCTGCATATTGAATGGTGCAATCCCAGCACAAGTTGCTATGTAGCATTGCTAGGCACGAGTCACAATCACGGTGATTTAAAATGATTTTCCGATTGGATGGTGACATGTACACGATGTGGTCGATTCCACCACGCACAACATTCTCATCCAAACAAAAAGGCGAGTTTGCGCGCCACCTTACTCCCATGTTAATCAGGTGATCTGCGCTCACTGGATATTCCGGAGTCCGGGTGATATCAGCTCGCACAGTATCGCCCGGAATGGCGTAGGTGGGTCTATCAACATCGTCTTCCTCTCCCAGCACCGAGGGACTTCCGCTGCGCATGCGGCAGAGCGCTTAGGAGAAGTGGCGATTTGAAGCGTCACCTCAAGTACTGCCCAACTCAGTAGCCTATCACCTCCACTGGAGATGGGGCGTCAAAGGTCAAAAGGTTAATCATGCAGCAAGATGTGCGCAGAAAAGAGCTGGGAAGTTGCTGCATTTGTACACATGCTTTTGTCTGCCATGGCCGCTACAATGTATACTTATTGAAGGGTTGAGAGTATGTTACAAGGCGGAGGATGCACTGTGTTGAAAACAGTGCTTCTGACTACAACCATGATCGGTTGGCAGAGCCCCGGAGCAGTGTTTCCAACACAGTGCATCCTCTGCCTTGTAACATGCTGTCAACCCATCAACATGTTAATCAACCAAACAAGATTTACCTCGTAACTACATCATACAATGTCTAATGTAACTGGGACGTGCTAGCTCTGTTGCAAAACTGCTGCGGCGCATGTCAGCTCATCTGGTGGTACAGACACACACACACACACACACACACACGCGCACACACACATACACGCGCACACACAGATGCACGCGCACATACACACACACAGTAGCTCTAACGAGAGAGCTTGGAAGCTCAGGGCCCTACGCTACGCTTTTTTGCCTTGATGACCTAGACAAAAAAAAAGCATAGGGATGTTATAAATTCTTTAAAAAAATCCTCTTTTTTTAAGACATAACCTGGGATTCGAACCCGCACTATCGCGCGCCCTGCATGCATCCCCCGATACACTTCGCATACATACTAATTCTTCCAACTTGTTTCACATAGTCATTGTGATCTGACGGGAAAAAAGCATAGGATGTTATAAATTTTTCAATTCTCCTATTTTTTTCAGGCATATCCTGGGATTCGAACCCGCACTATCGCCCTACATGCATTCCCCCATACACTTCGCATTCATACCCATTCTTCCAAGTTGTTTCACATTGTGATCTTGCATTAATTTTTAAAGCCCTATTTGAATATGCATTGTGGCCAGCTGTCTTTGATGGCACGGTACGGTAGGGGATAGGTACGATCGAGGGTAATGGGACACCGTCTCCCGTACCGTACCATCAAACACAGCTGGCCACATACAGCTGCCCGCAATATTCAAATAGGGCTTTCAAACGCAAGATAATAACGTGAAGCAACTTGGAAGAATGGGTATGAATGCGAAGTGTACGGGGGAATGCATGTAGGGCGATAGTGCGGGTTCGAATCCCAGGATATGCCTGAAAAAATAGGAGAATTGAAAAATTTATAACATCCTATGCTTTTTTTGCCGTCAGATACGGATAGCGCCAGGCGTGACACAAACAAACAAACAAACAAACACACACACAAATACCAAATTAAAGCTGTGTGGACCCTGGCTAGCGCCAGACGTTACTGAAGTAACGTCTTCTGCATAGCTACGGGAATAAAGTGTGTAGTTGAACGTAGCACGCGTACGTCTGTGCATTACGCAATTGCGATAATGACATGATGTCATCGGATTTCAACTACAAAGAAAGAAAACATGCTCCAAAAGCGAGCACACACTACAGCCAGCTGCAGGTGAGAGAGAGCTCAAGAAAATCAGCCTAAAAGCAGAGAGGTCACGCCAGCGTGCAATCAATAGCTCATAGCAGATCTTTTCAAGTTCGAAGCAACAGAAAGCCAGTGAATCGCATCATTCTCTGCTGAGTGAAAGCACACAGAACTCATAATGTGTGTCGTTGTGCCTGTTGATGTTATAGAGGTCATTGTTATTGAAGTATTAACTGACAATCGTACTGATCAGGCGGTGGACAGGCGTAGAAACCAGAAAGCAAGCAAGTGTACGCCGGTCAATCACTTTAATACTTAGCGTAGATGCTTGGGTTTCGTCATGTCCAGCAGGGCTTTCAGGCAATCCTCTGCTGGCTCCTGCGACTGCGACACATCCGCCAGGGGTAGGATACCTACCCTCCAGCCCTTGTCATCGAGAATGCGACGTTGCTTCTCCACCACACCACTCCAGTAACCCTTCGGCTGAACCAGCATGTGCTGGCCTTCGACCAGGAACAGGGCAACTGGCATGGCAGGGAGACGATCAACATTCTCCTTGGTGACCTGCTCCGGTGTAATGTTCTGCGGCCAGGGCACAATCGACTGTGTGTCCTTGCAGACCAGAGCCATCACTGGCACCACGCCGCACTCCAGCCACCGGTACGACAGCACGTTCGGCTGGAAGGCTTGCAACGCGTCCACCACGCCGCTGAGTCGCTGGTCACGACGCGCCTCACGGAGCATGACGTCCCGTAGCGGCGTCTTGCTCTTCTCCAGATACGGCATCAGCAGCTGCAGCTCGCGTGCCACGCGCGCATCATACCTGTAGTCGTGGCGCTCCAGGAATGACGTCATCGTCCGCAGCGATGACGTCGGCGGATCCAGGTCCTGCGCCTGCATTGCCCAGTTGAGACGCACGTACACGCGCAGGCTGTTGGTCTGCAGCTCGGTGCGCCGTCGGTTGTCGACGGCCTTGCGTATGTGTCTCAATACCTCCTTGTCCTGATGTCCAAAGTAGCTGAGCAGGTACGCGCAGCCGGACGCCTCCGTCACGTGACGCATGCCCTCGCACCTCAGGATCGAGTGCAGGCGGCGGCAGTAGCCGGCGAGGAACTCCTCGTGGCGCATGGCCACGCGCGACACGATGTTGGCGCCCTCCAGCGTGACCTGCACACCATGTATGCTCTTGCCGGGTAAACGCTCGGGCAGGTAGTCGCCGAGCCTCCTGAGCACCGCCTTGCACAGCTCCGGGTAGGCAACGTCAGAGTCGTCGTCCTTACGATACCCCACTGTGGTCAGCATGCGTAGCAACATCGGCACCGTCTTCACGGTCCCGATGTAGCGCAATACCAGGTCGTGAACGCCGCCGAACGACTTCACAATCTCCGGCGTGACGTCGTCGTTGTACGTCAGCACTCTCAGCATGAACGTGACGTCATGGATGTTCAGTGTGCACTGATCCTCCGCTGTCATAGCCCTGAGCATACTGGCTGTGAACCTCTGCAGCTCTCTGGGGGCGTCCGCTTGTCCACTGGCCAGGATCTGGTGAACATGCGCCAGCTCCTTGAAGTGAGCAAACACGGCGTCTTCTTTCTCGGCAAAAAACTGAAGAACATGTGTCGTCAGGGCGATGCGATCAACGTCTCTCAATGCCGGTCTGTTGCACAGCGAACTGGTCTGACGAATCACCTGGTCGAAATCCACCAGGTGATAAGTGGCAATGAACGCCCTGACGTCTTTGTTGATATTACGATTCCGCTCTTCGGGAACTACTTCGTACGTAGCAGCCTCTTGTGGTGTGGTACTCGTGGAGTCCCCCACGCCAGAGATCATCTGCTCCGATTCCACATTGACCACCAATGGTTCATTCTCGCTGCGAAAGCACAGATTCGCATGGAATCCTCTCCGACCCTGGCAACAAGGTAGTCTGAAGTCAGGCTTTGCTGACACCGCCCTCGCAACGCTGGCCAAGTAATGGCTACTCGCACGGCGTACTACACGGGCAACCACCAACATCTTCCAAGCTCAAGGTAGGGCCAATGAATTTCTGGACATTGCTATTTTCCTTTCTTTTCAACCTGTTTCTCCAACACTTCTTTCATTTGAACAAAAAGTGAGAGGAAAAAAACAGTTCAAACATTTTTACGTAGCGGTGACGTAATCGATCCCAAGAAGCAAAACTGTGACAACACAAAAAATCGAAATAATAATTATTTTTCAAAGCATCGATCGATGCAAGTCTTGTAGTCGTACAGCTGTTTCGACCTTCATCATGGAAGAACTAAACTACTTTGCCACTTTGTTGGGTCTGAGTCTCTGACTCTCATCAATGTTCAATGGAGCTCAGAGTAACTTACCCGCTCGCAATGAAGTGTAGCGAACAACTATTTACTTACTTGTAGAACTACAGCGTTGAATAAGCTGCCAGATCTGCTGTGTGCCATCGACATCCTCGTTCGCTGTTGTTGCCATCCATGCGTAGGCACTATGGGTTTACGAGTACTCGGTGATAAAGGTATCCCGAAGTTTTGTACTTACAGACTGTCAGTTACATGTACATATACATGTAGGTTTGCTTTGCTTCTACATGACGTCATTGTATATGTATGTCCCTCTTCATTGGTGGTACTACAGACAGTACAGGTACAAAGATAAAACAGTAAATTAAATGCTGTTGTTATCCTCAACGTTGCAAATAATTGGCCCTCGGCGCAGCAAACTGTTGAGCGGCGTACACGTACGTGTGCATGACTTTGTACAGTAA